CTGGGGAAGGCCCTAGGCTCAGAGAAGGGTGTTTGAGGAGCGATGATGCCAAGGAATGTTGCTAGAAAGTTCTAAGACTAGCAGTGTTAAGGGAACCACCACCAGGTGTCAGGTTACTAAACATCCTCTGCTAAGTTTTAGTAAATAGAGGTTTACTGCACAATGTCTTCGACACTAATGTGGCACCAACACATGGGAATTTGGACCATGTTGACTGCCTGTCTGGGATTTCACTCAGCACCATGCCTGTATCAGCAGGAATTTAATAAGTGAGAGTGGAATTGAATTTCAATTGATGTCACCGATCTACCCGTTTTCTTACTAATCTGGAGAATTCGTGTTAACACATGTGTGAGGGGTGGGGTGAGGGGAAGAGGGATAGTGGGATGGAGAGAGGCCAGTGAATCGCTCGGTGTTTAAGTTTTACAGACTTGGAGAGGTGTAACTTCAGTGATCCCTACAAACTGCTGGAGAATCTGGTACTCTGTACCCTGCGATATAGTGGGTGGTGTTAAGGTAATCAACCGTCCAGGTTTTCCAGAACTGTCCAGGTTGTGGTACTGGAAGCCCCCTGTCTTGGAAAACCCCTCAGTCCTGAGAAACTGGGACAGTTGGTCACCTCATAAAACGGTTTTTAGCTAGCCGCTCTCAGTTGTCTTGTCTGAGGAGCTTTCCTCATCTGTGCCCAGAGGTGCCCCTTCCCCTTGTTACTAAGACAGAACTTTCTGCCTCATTCTCTCCACATCCTCTCCCACCCTGCCCTCATCCCCATTTCTAGGGCCTCAGACTGCAGCAATGGGCTCTGCCCCTCTCCTGGGTGAATATCCCATCTGCCAGGGAAATTGGTATGCCAGGACCCAGAGAACTTCATGTCAGGAAAGTGAAGGGTGTTGAGGGGTGTGGAGGGAATGGGAGAAAAGCAGCTGAACTCTATTGTTTGAGCTAGCTAACTTTGGACTAGGACGGAAAAACAGGCTCCTTTCAAACTGGTCCAGACAGGCAGAGAGCATTATGTTTCTTCACTGAGCTCATTTTCAAATAATCAGAAAGCTCAGTTTCAAGTCCGTTCCAATTCTAAGATGTTGTGGTTTGTCCCCAAGTCTTGTCACCCCAAAGTTAGCTCAAGAATTCTTCAAGTTTCTTCCTTTCTCTGTTAATGACCTTGATCTACAGAATGCTGGTTTCCTCCAATGTGCCCAGTAGCCAAAAGGCCAATGAACTAGAGGAAAGTGACCTTCAGGATCTATTTTTCAACCAAGCAGACATGACTTTGTATATGTCCATTTGGGATTTTTCATGGCACTGCTTTCTATTTACCATCAGTGTGGTGTGCTCTGTGAAACGGGAATTTACCCTCCAGGAATATCCTTAACTAAGATGACAGGAGATTATGGTGCAAGTGGACTCAGCACCTTCAGGGCTCTCTGGGGTCCTACCTCTTGCACAGTTCATCTTGGGTAACACAGAGCCTGTTCTTTAACCTAAAGCACTGGCTCTGTGATGTTTCGTCCCCTCAGGACCCTCACACGATTCCACACTGTCTGTAGGGAGAAGGGAATTGTCTTGGCCACCATCTTTCTCCCATTAACTTCTGCTTCTCAAGTCAAACCTTCCCCTGCCATCCGCCTGCGCTGCTCACTGCCTCTCGGAGACACTGTGCGCCTGTCCAGTCTGGCCCATCTTCCATTTCTCAATCCCCACCTCAGAGAGCCCAATGTATTTTATTTTGAGTTTTTAAAATCAGAATTTCAATAACAGCTTATCTGAGTCATTCATTTAAGCACATTATTGAATACTGTCATATGGAATTAAATTACAGCAATAACAACAGCAAAACAACTTTCATGGGCTTATAGTTTGTCTCCTCCCATTCAATTTCAGCTTCTTAGAGGGGAAGGAGAGTGTCTTCGATGTCCCCATCTCTCAGCGTCTAGCATTGAGTAGTGCACACAGTAGGCACTCAGTTTTATACTTGTTAAATAGTGTCCCAGGGCCCTGGACACTCATTAGTCCAGTGAACTCAAAGACTGGGGTGTGGAGTGTGACATTTAATTAAAGGGTGGCTAACATGGTGAAAATTGGGACTGTCAGAGATCCTACTGTGTAGGCCAAAGAAAATGCTCTGCAATTAAAATCCCTAGGAATCGGTTGGGAGGGGCACCTGTGTGTGGCCATGGTCACCACAACACTGTTGTCAGAAAATCACCCTCTGTCTCCCTCTCTGTCTTTTTCGTCACTACCACCACCACTGCCATCATCACCATCATTATCATCACTAGACCCTTATTGACCAGCCTCCAGCACAGAGCTTGGCCCAGGAGGCACTCATTGCGAGTATGTGGAGTAAATATAAAAGGTGCCGGGACCCTAGCCCTAGTCCTCTCTCTCCCCAGCTTATCGCTTCAGAGTTTGGATGGGCTCAGTTCATTCTGCAGCACAGCATTTTCCCAGGTACCTGAAACTCTGCTTTTTATTACGATAACTGTTCTCCAGCCTTGAAGATTCAGTCTTGTACCTTTCCTACTTTGTAAATGTTCTTTTGTTAAGGTCCCTGGTAAGAGGTCTAGCTTCTCTAGTAGATTGGGGTTCACACTCACCCAGACAGTAGAGGTGCAAACTTAGCCCAGGAGACTCAGCTCACCAGAACCATGTGTATCTCCAATTGGGAGCCCCTCAGGGAAGGGTTCAAGGTAGGGTGTCTAGAATAAAATAGTTCTACATGAAAGTGAGTCTTTTCCACCTTATACCCATCCCCATTTTGGCTGACTTTGTCTCTGAACTCTAGAGTGATGTCTAATCTAGAGCAACTGCCTTAGATAAGCCCCCAGTTCAGGGGCAACCTCCCCCTCTCCTCGTGTCATCAACTCATCTCAACAATATAAGAGGAACACCGGCACGCAGGACTCAGAGCCCATGACTGCCACGCCTGCCTCATGCATCAGAAAGTCTTTGTATCATTGGCTCTGACTCTCGTCTCCATGGCATTACATGATGGTGATGGTTAGGAACATGGACTTTGAAACCAGACACACTTGAATTCCAGTCCCAGCCCTGGCTTACTAGCTGACTGACCTTGGGTAAGTTCCTTAACATCTCTAAGCCTCAGTTTCTTCAACTATTAAGTGAAGCTAGTAACATGAGGGTTAAATTAGACATTCTTGTAGTGCTCGCCACAATGTCTGGCACATGCAAAATGAACAATCAACGTTAACTCTTTTTGTTACTGCTGTCACTGTGACTATAGCTGAGCCTACTGCGGCCACCATTGCTCCTGCTACTGCAAGTAATACTTCAATCCCCACTGCCTGGGAGCACCTGCTCTGAGGCAGCCCTTGTGATGAGTGCTGTTGGGGGTATAAGCCTAGTCTTTTGGAGGTCCCTAAAACCCCTAATCAAAATTAGCCCCTGCCTTCCCAGTGCACCTCAAATCCCTGTTTCACAATGTTTTTCTGTTATTCTGAAGCTTTGGCCCCAGATTAAGTTCTTTGTGTGGATTCCTCTCATTGGTCTGCAGGCTCCTGAGGGGCTAGGGCCATATGTTGGTCACCTCGGTCAAAGGACTTGCACCGTTTGTTGACATTCAGAACATCAGCACTCGCAATCTGGTTTAGAAGAGCACAAGAACCCACTTCAGTTGTGCCCTCTCACGTCTTAGGGCTGGGCCCTGCCAGGAAGGTTGGGAGACATGGTCCCTGGAGGAGGAGCTTCCACCGCTGCCTCAGAGGCTGAGAGGAGAACACTGCGAAGGGAAAAGCTCTCTGGAGCATTCCACGTCTACACCCATCCCGCTGCCCAGCTCACCATCTCCCCCTTTCCCTCTCCAGCAGTTATCTACTACTCTGTGGATGACCCAAACAGGTCAAGGCTCTCAATTTAGTTAGAGAAGTCCAGAGTCCTGCATTAGGGCAACTACCTGGTGCTTGTTTTTGAAATAACATTTCTCCCCCCACCCCAACCCAGGACTACTTGAGCTATAAAGGGCTGGTCTCTTCTGTTCCAAGAAGGAATGGCTCCTGATGTGATCAGGAAACTGGCAGAACAGCCCACCCTGAGCCCAGGCTTGAGCACTAGGGTTTCCTGTACCTTGGTCACTGGGCATAGAGTGTTTCCCCAGGGAGTGTGGGGGCAGACATTCTCCCCAGGGAGAGAAGAGTTCATGTCCCAGCTCCCAAACTTGTTCCACGGCCTGACCTCCTAGGATGGATGGAACAGATCACCTTGTCCAGGGGAAAAAATTCAGCCACTAGAGCTGCCAGCTGCCTGAAAATTTCTCACTATTGAAGAGGCAACGTCAAGGTCAGCACCGCCCAGGCCCTGCCCGATACAGAAAGCCTCAGACATTACCCTAATGGGGGGCCATGTAGCCATTTCCACTGTCTTCCTGGGATCTGTTCTATTGCTAGATAGCTGTGGTCCTTAGAGTGACCCAGAGAGCTGCCCCCGTAACTTCTTTCTTGGATCCAGATCTTTGAAGACACCCATCGTGTCTTTTCCGAGTCTCTTCTTCTCCGGCATGAACACCCCAGCTCCTCAACAAGACCAGAGAGTAGGGAGATGGGGCTTCTGGGGAGAAACCTGGGGTTTTTGGATGAGCCCTCTTGGATAAAGCCAGGCATTTCTTCTGCTCCTTGCTGATAGATAAGCTAGAAGGAGGCAGCCCTGGAAAAATAAAGCTAGGAGATCTCTGACGGGATAATGCTCAAGGTCCTTAATTAGGAGAATAGATAAACGCCCGATTAGACCCCTCCAGTCTGCAAGGGCAGCATATTCCACTCACTATCAGAGGCGCTTTGTTGCTGCAAAGGGCTTGGAGATCTCTATTCCACAAATTGCCCAGGGCTCCTGGGCCTTCAGCAGGAAGAAAGGAGATAGCAAAGAGACGCCCTTTTCCGGTGTCCAGAGCTCCACAGGATAAAAGGAGCCAGTTCTCTGGGTGCCCCATCAGTGTTCCCTGTTGGTGACTGCTTTTCTCCAGCTCTGTCAACTCCTTCTTGCCTACCATGAGTCGGCAACTGAACATCAAGTCTGGTGGTGACAAGGGTGGCTTCAGTGGGCACTCAGCAGTGGTGCTGAGGAAGGCTGTGGGCAGTGCAGCTTCTCACCGTGTGGCTGGCAAAGGAGCTGGGGCTGGCTTCAGCAGTCAGAGTCTCTGCAGTCTCAGAGGGCATCGGTGTATTTCCCTCAACGTGGTTGCTGGTGGTGTTTGGACTGGAGGTTACAGCTTCCGGCCTGGCTCTGGGTATAGATGGGGCCGGGCGACTGGCTTTGCTGGCAGCATGTTTGGCAGTGTGGTCCTGGGGCCTATGTGCCCATCCATGTGCCCACCTGGGGGCATTCATCAAGTCACCATCAACAAGAGCCTCCTGGCTCCCCTCAACCTGGAGCTGGACCCCAAGATCCAGAAAGTATGTGCCCAGGAGTGGGAGCAGATCAAGGCTCTGAACAACAAGTTCGCCTCCTTCATTGACAAGGTAGATCTCCCAGGAGGAGGATAGGACAGTCCAGTGAGATATGAGTGATTCCTGGCTGCCCGGGAGTGTACAGGGCACTGTATAATAGATAGAAAGGCTGTAGCTGGACCTCAGGAAAGGCTCCCTGATCATAAGAAGGAGAAGAACAGACCTGTAAGCTAAGTGGCACAAAAGAATAAATGAATGGGTTGCTTTTTGGGGGGATTTTAAAGAGAAGGGTGGGAAACTGAATAAAGTGTTGCTACTTTGAAAACTTGAGAAAGAAGTGATGGGTTTCTGGAGGACACCTGGATGGACCTCCAGCTCTTTAAAGAAGACAAAGGGTTAATAGAAGCAGCACAGTTCATAGGGAAGGACTCATGGTACAGAAGAAACACTTAGCTGAGACTCAAGGAAGAACATTGCCTGGGTACTGAGTGAGGTGACAGAAGAAAGCTGTTGAATCTCCTTCTTCAGTGAGTTTTCAGTGATTGGTTTAGTCCAGGAGGCTATGGAATGAACCCTTGTAAAGGGTCTAGTTTACATGGAATCCCATGAGTGGAGAGCCAGGACTTGAGCCAAATGACTTTAGGAAAATCTACATAACCTGGGGAGTCAATGGTGTGTGTGCATGGGACATGATAGCATCCATTGCGGTTCTAGGTGCGGTTCCTGGAGCAGCAGAACCAGGTACTGGAGACAAAGTGGGAGCTGCTGCAGCAGCTGGACCTGAACAGCTGCAAGAAGAACCTGGAGCCCATCTTTGAGGGTTACATTAGAACCCTGCGGAAGCAGCTGGAAATGCTGTCCGGGGACAGGGTGAGGCTGGACTCGGAGCTGAAGAGCATGAGGAACCTGGTGGAGGACTACAAGAAGAGGTGAGCAGGAACCACCAAAGGTCGTGGGTCTTGTTCCCAGAGGCTCCTGGGCTCACCCAATCTTTGCGCCACCTTATGGGGGAGGGAGCCAGCACCGTGGTCAGGGGCTCACACTCTTTCCCTGGTTGTGGGGGAAGGACCTACCCTGGTTAATGAGAACTTCCTACTTGGCTGATGGGGAGGGAGAGTTCCTATGCTCACTGATCCACTGACTGGTTCAGTGGCTGGTTGGGGAAGCCTAATAGGCACCTGGATATTTTTCTAGATCCAGCAAGTGGAATTTAAGTGAGGTAACTGTTCCCACCAGCCCCTGTAGTACTCACCTCTAGGAGATCCTGTGGGAACTCTATATTCTGAGCACATCACTTGGCCAAGGGGACTGAGGCCTCTGTTATCTTCTCTCCTTGCCCACAGGTATGAGGTGAAGATTAATCGGCGCACAGCAGCTGAGAACGAGTTTGTGGTACTCAAGAAGGTAAGGGAGTGAAGAGCCTATGGATTCTGGTCTCTCTTGTACCTCCATACTAACCAACTTTGTTCAGGACTTCAGCCCAGGCCTCCTGGGAGGTGGCTGGTGCCTGGAGGGGGATAGAGTCAAGGTTCTGGCCTCCAGCATGTTGGAGAGGCAGGGCGTACACCCAGGAAATGGACAGGGACAGGCAGGCAAGAATTCTGGTCTGGGAATTGGGAAATCGTGATCCAGCTCAGCCTCCCTGTGTGACTTGAGGAAACTCACTCCACCTCTCTGGGCTTTGTTTTCTCCAGGTGTAACTGAGGAACAGTAGGCCTCATTCTCGTTTTCTTAGTTCCAAAGATTCATTGAGTCTGAGAGAAAAGCAATATTAAGTCATTTTATTCAATACACTTCCCTTTGTGGGCAAAACATAGGAAATCAAATGGCTTTGGGGCAGGGACAGGGTAGCTGACAGGATGAGGGTTTTATTGACCGGTGGCCCTGGGTGCCTCTTGGCAGGATGCAGACGCAGCCTACACAGCCAAGGTGGAGCTCCAGGCCCAAGTGGACTCTCTGGACAAAGACATCAAGTTCCTCAAGTGTCTGTATGATGCGGTGAGGACACTCCCTTCCCTCCCCATCCTTTCTTCTTCTTTCCAACTGAGGGCTTCACCTGGCTCTTCCAAGGAGAAGCCAATAGGCGGGATTTAGGATAAACAAAAGGAAAGATGTTTTGATGGGAAGGTGCAAAACCCTGCACTGGGAGACCGTGGAAGTGTAGGATCCTAGTCCTGGGAGGCCATACACACAGGAGACAAACCCATCTGTACCAAGATAGTGACTTTGCCTGCAGGCAGGGAAAAGTGACTCCATGAAATCCTAGTAAAGCACAGATTCTTGATTCTGTGACTAGGAGGAAATGCCTTCCAGATCCTGCTACTGTGAGCCTTCTCTCTTGGCTCCAACAGGCAGATCTCCAGCAGGCACGTCTTCCCTCCACTTTGGCCAGGGACTGCAAGACCCAATGACTGATGGGCAGGGGAGGGAGGCCGGGAGACCCTGACTTTGTCCTCACCTCTCAACTCAGGAGATGGCCCAGATTCGGAATCATGTCAGTGAAACCTCCATCATCCTGTCCATGGACAACAACCGGGACCTGAACCTGGACAGCATCATCGCTGAGGTCCGGGCCCAGTATGAGAAGATCGCCCTGAAGAGCAAGGCGGAGGCTGAGGCCCTGTACCAGGCCAAGGTGGGCACCAGGGTGAGATGTACCTCCTCCACCATCCTCTTCTTTCCTGGGAAGGAACACCTCCACCAGTGAATGTGAGAGATATCTTCATAGATATACTAAATAAGAGAGGGATTATAATCAATAGTTTAACAATATTCTACCCAAAAAGAATTCTCGGCAGAGACCATTATGAAAGAGAAATCATAAAACTGGTATGGATGGGCACATCCAACAGAGAAGGACAGGTAATCCCCCGGTAGAAGAAAAAAGCGAAGTGTTCTTGTTATAAAAGAAATGTATTTCCAGGGGATGGGACATGTCATCAGGGCCCAGAAGGAGAGGAACAGACATGGAGGACAGTGGCTATGGGTGAACTGGGGCGGGGCAGGTATGAGAAGAGGAAGCCAGGCGCTCTTTTCCGATCAGTGTGGGAGGACTTCCAAGAGGGGGAAGTAGAGTTCTAGGAGGCTTTTGGATAAGGGGATTATACTTTGGAGTAAAACCCTTCAGGGCTGTCACTGAGAAGACCCTTTACCTGGGGTCTTTAGCACTCCTTTTCACCTTCGTCAAATCCCGTGGACAACAGGATCACACGTTCCTTGTCCCTGTCCATGGCCGTGTCAGCCCCTCTTCTCTGAAGGACTGGCCAAGGGGAGAGGGGAAGATTTGAGCTACAAGCCCTGAGTCAAAAATGCCACCACCTGAAGTGTACATGCTGCCCTTGGCTTCCCTGGCCCTCCTCCTGTCCCTATGAAAGGGCTGCAGGAGAACGTAGGTTTTATGGGGGCAGAGACCTCACCTACCCTCTTCATTGCTGTATCCCCAGTACCTAAGCAGAACCTGGCCTTTGAAAGATGCCTCTATAGAGAGATGCTAAATGAGTGGAGAGGGTCAGAGCTCTTCTTACCTTTAGGAAGTGCTTAATAAATGTGAAGTGCTTCTTTCCCTTATCCAGCCCAGGAAAGACTGCAGGCAGGGTGACGAGGAAGAAGGACAGGCCCAGCAAACAGGCTCTGCTGAGAGAAGCGGGTGGACTTATTGGTCAGGAACACCACCAAACAGCTGGGAGGGTG